TTTTTGTAAAAAAATATGTCGAGTTGGCCGGTTTGATTTAGAACCGATGATCGGTTCAACCTACTTTTTTTATTGTTTAAGCACTAGTTGGTGCTAAACCTTTTTGAGATGGTGAGTATGAAAAGTATTTAAGCCAAAAGTTTGTATGATTCCCCATGAACGTATCATCCATTCATTTGATAGGGTAAAACCTGTCTAGCAGTATTTTTAGGATCCTCAATTTTGGACCTGTAATCCCCTCAGGCAACCAACTCCAAAAATAAAAATAAAAATAAAATAAATAAATAAATTAAATGAATGGTATGATTCGAGTCGGAAACAGAGACCATCAGAACCAAGTACTTTCGGAAACCAAATGTTTTCCATTTCAAAGTCATCTGATGAGAGTGCATAATACAGCCCATCATTCTCCTCTCTCTAGCTCATAATCTGACTCGACCAATTGAATGTTATGATTCGAGTCGGGATTTGAATCTACCATTAGCAAGAGTTGTTGTTCGAGTCAGCCAATTGAAAGATTGAATTACCATTGCGGTTTGAACCACATTGATTTGATGGGAATGTTCTTTTTTAGTATTGCCTATGGACAATTTTTGGGTAGGATGGCTTTTGGCAGTTATTTCCACTACTAGTATCAAGCATAGTTATCGGGAGTGGGAGCGAGAACGGTTCCGGTTCCAAGAGCGGGAGCGAGAGCGTGGGATCGATGGCTGCCTGATGCTCCGGAGCTCTGGGAGTGAGATCCAGTGAGGGTAGAAGTCACGGATTGAGATCCCGTTTGAACAGGGAGCAGATCCCGATACATTGGGATCGAGATCCCTATTTAAATGGAACGCATTCTATGTAATTACGGAACGAGATCCCTTTTGAATAGAGAGTGATATCCGGTTTGAATAAGGAGCAAGATCTTGAGAAATATGGATCTAGATCCCTATTTGACTGGAACGGGATATATGTAAAATGGGATCGCACTCCCGTCGATAACAAGAATGAGATCTCATTTAATGTTGGGTCTCCCTCCAATCTAAAGAATACCATGATCTTATTTGGATAGGATTGAGCTCCATTCATTGTAGGATCATGTTTCGTACAATAATGGTCTGCGCACCCACACAAAACTCCACTTGTATGAAGAATCCAATTCCATTACACATGGCTTCGTGTACCAACTAAGCACAGCAAACCATTTCCATACGAATGCGATCTCAATTTGGTTAAATTTAAAACAAATGTTCTATCTATCAATGGCCTATGCAGCTAGATCTATGCACAACCAATCCTATATGTCCTTGATTCATTAAATCCCATTATTTTAGTATGAAATAAAGTATTTTAATGCTATGAATAATTAGTATTAATATTGTTCAAATTCGCATATATGATAGGAAAATGAAATTAAAAGTATTAATTTTTTATATTTAAATGTTAATTTTATTTAAGAAGTTTTTTTAGAAAGGTATAAAATGGTAAACTAAATTTATTCAAAATTTTTAAAAAAAAAACTATTATCATAAAAATAAAGCTAATTATATATATATATATATATATACAAATTTGGGAACTCATTTGAGAATTATATAGTACTTTATCCCTGAAGAAGAGGGAGCGAACTCCGTGGTGAATGGGATCGAGATCCGTGTATCAGCAGCAGCGAGCTCCGTTGAGAATGGGAGCAAGATCCATGAGGTATAGGGAGCGAGATCCATTGTGAAAGGGAGCGAAATCCCTAAAGTAGAGGGGAGCGAGCTCCGTTGTGAATAGGATCGAGAATCCTAAAAATTGGAGTGAGATCCCGAAAAAATGAGAGCAGATTCTGAGCGAGATCCCAGCTCCGGAACCCTAGGGTGGCGCTTCCAAGATCGTAGAACCTCTAGATTGAAACTGTGTTTGCAGGATCGTTGAGATGGTTGTAACAACGTTTGATCCAGTGTTCAAAAAATCAAACCGACCCTAGAAACTAGCCAAGGGTAGCATCCAAGTAACCGATAAACCAGCCGGTTCAGCCGGCCTAACAGATATAAAACATGATCAACTATATATATATATATATATATATATAAATACCCAGTCCGACCACCAAAATTAACCAAAACTATTTTTTTTTTCTTAAAGTACCCAGTCCGACCACTAAAATTGACCAAAACTGGATCGGCCAATGGCTAGTTTGGGTTTGACCAACCGATTCCAAGTTGGATAGGTCGATTTTGCCAAGCTGATTTGATCTTATCCACTTTTCCTTTCCCTTTCCTCTCAAATCTCAACAATTCATTGTTTCGTTTTTTGGGTTAAATTTGGGTTTGAGTGCTATTTCTTAATCACAGAAGATCAGTGCTTGGAGTGGATAAGCACTCTCAGGGTCCAGGTCCTGTCCCATGGATGGACCCAAACCTAACTAGTTAGGTATCTGCTAGAGCGGTCAACTTCGACCCAGACCTGACCTGTTTAAGTATGGGTTAGAGCCGGATTAAGTAGGGTCTAGGTCTACTGGAGAGTAAGCCGACACACCTGGTCCTTTACTAGAGTCTAGACCCCAGACCAGGATAGCCGTTGACATAACAAGATTATCACCTCTAACCTAACAGGCATTATCCTCTTTGGTTTAGTATCCGTGGGGATCTGGGCCTCTATCCTCTAGTGAGAATAGAGTCCAAAACTTCATTCATGAGGCTCACTATGACTAAGGTCCAGCCCAGTCTCCAGCCAACACTATCCTCCCTTCAAAATTGACAAGAAAGACTTCAAATTCTCATGCATGTTATCTCCAAACATCTATGACTTGATGGAAAGGAAATGGTGAATCATACAACAAAAGTCGATGCAAGTAAATAGTATACAAAACGGCGCTTGTCATAATAAAATGGAGCGAAAGAGTTAATAGGGTCATAAACCCTATCATAAAGGGTCTTGAAGGCTTCTTCATCAAAATAACATCAAGTAAGGTGGTTTAGCGAACTAAGGTGGTTTAGTGAGTCTAAAGAAACAAACCTATCCATCCACAATACCCAATCTTAACTAAGAAGCCAAGAAGGTAGCCATCTCTCCGGACAATATCTCCTTCCATTCCAAGGTTCCAAATAGAAGGGGTTTACAAATAGAATGAAATAACTTATTTGCAATACATTATATAGAATAGAAGAATACATAGAAAAGATCTAGAAACAAATATTTTCTTGGGAAAATATCTCCATATCCCTTATTTTTAGGTTTCATTTCTTGATCAACCCAATATTTCGAAAGGTATCGTCTAACCCCCCCCCGGTCACTTTAAAAGTATTTTTTAACCTAAACAAATGTGAGAGAGACATGCTATTTCTAAATGTAATCATTTCTCTCTCTTTCTCTCTCTTTCTCTCTTTTCATGTGTCTCTCTTACTTTCCCTTTCCTCCACGTTTCTCCAAATCCTCTCTCACTCCTCCTGGTAATCTCTCACCTCCATGAAGCCCTTCTCTCTCTCCAGAAGTTTGGGATGATGGCTTTTAGAAAAGACATGTTTTTTAAGATATTTTTTGACCTAAAAAAACATGTTTAAATTATCTCAGGGGGTTAATAAAATCTACAAGTTTTATGTCCCAAGATATCTTTTGAAACCTTGGGTCTATTGTGAAATGAAGCCTAAAAACATGGGGTATGAAGATATTTTCCCTACTTTCGTTCATTGATAATATCAAAAGAAAAAAAAAAAAGAAATTTCTAGGATAAAGCAATATATGAAAGAAAATGGTTTGATAGGGTTGCAGCCCCATCAAAATAAGTAAAGCTTCACCTCATAATTCATCAAAAATTACAATTCAAGTATTGGAAAACCTGAACATATTAGTTGTGAAAAAAAGTAGGATTTTAAGCTATAAAAATCATGTATATTGTAACAAATTATCTAGACAGTCCATTTCACTCTAAAATTAAGTGTTCATAGATCCGCAAGATCTATACTATTTTTTTATTTTCAAAATTTATTATCGGTATTGGAAATTGATTCAGATCCATTATGGAGATTTCCGTTGCCAAAATACTTTCATACGAGGATTTGACATGAGGCTTTATTTTGTTTTCATGAAGCCCAGGCCATATAGAAATTTCATCCCATATGAAAGATGGAAACAAATATCTTCTCTCTATAATATCACAAAAAAAAAAAAAAAACTAGGGTAAAGCAATATATAAATTTAGGAAAGAGTTCATACAAATTTGAACCTTATACTATTGAAGGTAGATGTACCTTAAAAACCCATCAGATAAGGTTGTTCACTAAAAAAATTCTCAAATTGATAGTCTTAAACTCAAAATTTATAGATATAAAATAAATCAAAAAAATAAAATATTTTAAGTCATAAAAATAATGCATCTTATAATGTATTATCTAAATCTATTTTTCAAAAATTTAAATGGTTGATCTACTTAATCTGCATCATTTTTTGAGCTTCAAATTTCATAATACAAGGTAACCGCCCAAAGCTTTCCAATACCAAAATTGCATCTTTCAATATAATTTTTGAGGTGCCCCAAATACAAATGTAACCCAGACTCAATCCGAACTAGACCTAGGACCCGAATAGTATTCGAGCCAAGAGTTGGACCCGGACCCGACCCACCAGGTCCATTTTTTGGGCCCATACCCAAACCCATATCGGATCTAACTCTCGGGTCCTGGGTCGGGTCCGAATCCATTGACACCCCCTAAATGCATGCGTAGTATTGCATACACACACTCATAGTGGCAAATACATGCATGTACCCCCATACCGAGTCGGGTCCGAATCCATTGACACCCCCTAAATGCATGCGTAGTGTTGCATACACACGCACTCATAGTGGCAAATACATGCATGTGCCCCCCATACACGCATTGAGATTCTCTCTCTCTCTCTCTCTCTCATCAAGATAATAATATAGAAATGGATATTTTATATAATGAAAAATGGATTACACTCTCAAACTTTCATAACCACAACTGGAAGAACACTCAAAAGAAATCCAAAAAGGGGTTAAATACCCAATGTCTTTATTTGGAGAACTTCAAAGCATCAGGGTCACATCCAAGGTAATGGAAGGGGAACTTCTGAATGCTAGTGTTGGCATCAAATAGTTGAGGAGGAGGAGTAGTTTTACCATTGGAGAAGAGGTCCAAGTTTGGATGAGAAGCCAAAAGTCTGTCCAAGAAGGACCAGTCTTGCTGTTGCATTGCACCATTTGATGTCAATTTCATGAGGTTTTGTGAACACTCAATGTCAACCATGTTTATAGAGACACTTGGTGCTAAGTAGGGTGTGACTCCATTATCAGGGCTAAGCAGCTGGGGGAGGTGCATGGAATTATTGAAATTGTTGGGGTGATGGTGATCACTGCTGTTAATATTATGATGGGTATTGCTTTGATGATCATAAGGGAAGTCTTGGTGCATATGAAAGGCATGCTTTTGGTCCAATGAGTGGGGGCCATGTGGCTTTTCATGATAGGCTGAGGAGTTAGGGCACAAGCCCTCATCTTCTGGTGGGTTTTCAAAATGGAGGACCCTTTGTTGGTTTTTCTTCTTGAAAACCCTACAAACCACCCATCCATCTTCCTGCAAAAACAAGGTTAGGGTACAGGATGTTTAGGATACAAGTTTCTACTAAAATATTACAATTAACACTCAAGTAGTTTGAAGTACCTATAAACAATTCAATGGTATTCTTTCACCCAAAAAAATTTCGATGGTATACTCCTTTTTCCTTTGTGAATTAATACACTTACAAATGAAACTCATAACTGTAATGTGCAGATGGACTTAAAAGTAGTTTTCACGAAGGAAAATTGATAGTCTTCTACTCAAGCAAAAAATGACTCATAATAGAAAGAAAAATCCTGTGATTTAAGAAATATTACTTTTTATTCAAGAAAAATCTGTCCCCCAAAATGGAAATAAAAGATACAGGAGATTGAGTCTCTCTAAATGGGACAGAAAAGTCTCTCTAAATGGGACAGAAAATTAACCCAAAAAATCAAATGGAAAATAAATCATTAATGAAATTTTAGTTATTTATTATCCACTCACTTGGGTGTCTGAGAAGTCGTCATCGAGACGATATTCATGCATGATCCAATCTGTCTTTTGACCATGGGGTGCTCTACCAGTGTAGAAAACCAAGGTCTTCCTCATTCCAATCCTCTTAGAGTTGCTCATATGGATGGCTTTATCTCTACCTGTTGCCTTCCAAAATCCAGCAGTTGTGGCCCTGTTAGTCCTTGTACCAGTGGGATACTTCTTATCCTTGTGACTAAAGAAGTACCACTCATTTTGAGGGCCATTTCCTATCCTACATTTATCTGTACAACAGCATACACAAATCAGTGCATGCGTATTGGTCTTCAATTTGGATTACTTCAGTAAAATTCTTGATAATTTCTTGCCTTTTTTATGTTTTAATAAATTTCTTATCCATGTACCAAAAAAGAAACAGATTTCTATTACATCAGGCAAACGATATTAAACCACAAGATGTTTTGGCACGTGCCTTAATGTATGTGTATATATATGTATGCGTGCATGCACGTGGTAATGCATGTTTAAATGCATCATGTATGTATGTCCGCATGAATCGCTCTCTATATGTCTATCTGTATAATAAGAGTGGAAAGTTGGCCACTGTGTTTTCATGTCTTTGTACACCTTGAAAACTTAGGTCATTTAATTCTTGTTTTCTTGATAACTTGTAACTAGTAAAACGAACCTCGGGTGAGCCAACTAGGACTCGCCCAACTAACTTGGAGTCACCAACCTGGCAAGTTTGAGTATCCCTGAGTTGGTCAGACTTGGGGATCTTAAAAATAAAATGAAAGAATAAGAAATTTATTTGCAATAAATGTGATTTTGAAATGAATACCCTTTTTTTACGTTTTTCCCTTCTTTTATTATTATTTTTAAAGTACCCCTGTCACAAATAAATTGATTTTTTCAAAATCCATTTTTTCATTGCTTTTTTTTAACCCCATGTAGATGTGTTTCAGTTTAATTTTACCTAAAACATATTTTTGTTTCTTTAGGTTTTGTTTTGTATTTTTTATTTTTAACACTTTTTGCTTGGCCGAACTCAGCATGACTTAGGCATATTAACTCGGGCCGAATAAGAGTTACTCGGCTCGGCACCTTGTGGCCAAGTTGAGCATTCTAACACTACCTGTAACAGGCTTTGCAAGATCATATTCGTCTAGCTTCACTATGAAAATGAATGTCTATGTGTTCACCACATGCACATGCGTTCCCATACAACAATGGACATGCATGTGTTCACCAATGTAGGTGGATGCTGAACTATGAAGGTCGCCAAAGTGTATGCATATGTGCACACTCGTTCCAACGCGCCAATGTGTATGCATGCGTTCTCACTCTCTTTCGTCCCATGCGCCCATGTGTATGCATGCGTTTTCACACTCTCTCTCGTGAGTTCCACGTGATAATGTGTATGAATGTGTCTGTAATTCTTAACCATGAAAGGCATAGCATCCCCCCCACAAACACTCTCACTATTTCTCTCTGTAGATGCCAATATTCTAACTGAAATGAAACCAGGAATTTTGGTTTTCAATAACTATCAATAAAGGTAGATTAAGCATGCATGAGACCTCATGAATAAATCAGTGACGAGAATGAATATCAGAAACAAAGAGTTAAATAGTAGTTTAAAATAAGAAAACCGTAGTTCACCATCCATTAATTAGAAAACCCCCCAGTGTTCTACGTTTTCAAACCTATGCTCATTAAATATAATTTTAGGACAACATAGATTCAGAGGAAACCCGAAGAAAAATAACCGACAATATTAAAAAAAAGAAGAAAGATATTAGAAAATTTGGAAATTAGAAAGAAAAATGAAAACTAAAGAAAAGAAAAATGTAAATTACAAAAATGTATTAAAATTACATTTGGTTCATTTTCAGCAAGGCTAGTGATATCGTCTGTGGAACCTTAAACGAACCACAAAAAGTGGAAAATTCAAGTTTATTGAGAAGGAAAAGTGTATGATGAGACTATTTACCTTTGATACAAGGTGATCACATTTAATCTTGACCATTGGATATGAAATTGATTAGCTGCATTTATTCCATGGACCAAGCTTGAAGTTTAAAAGAAATTTCTCAAACTATATGACACATCCAAGCTATTTGATTTCACATTGGATGGTTATAAGTAATTGTATCCTACTTGTACCAAAAGCAAATAGCCTATAGCATACAATCCTTAGAATAGAAAGGAAAAATAGAATAATATGATAGGAAAAACAAATGCAATAATGGAAAAATGTGACAGAAAAAAGAAAAATACCTTTTAGATCCCAAGGCTCTAGTTTATTGAGATCAACATCTCTTATAACGTCAAGATCGATGTCCTCATAATTCACTTTCTTCTTCAGGTAATAGTACAGTAGCTCCTCATCCGTTGGATGAAACCTGAATCCTGGAGGAACTGACACATGTCCACTTCCGGTAATCATCTCTGCTGATTAGAAGCAAAATGACTTAAAGATCAGATGACAGATGGAGGGAGAACCATGAAAAAGAAGATGTAGCTAAAGATAGATTACATGAAAGGAAATTAATCTACAGGAATTTGATCTCTTTCCTAAGAGAGAGAGAGAGAGGACGGAGCAACAAAACAGAACATTGAGTTTCTACTGTATTTCAAAAAGTAAAACAGTTCGACATGAAAGGGTAAAAAAAACAATATTAAGAATAAATGAAGAAGCAGCAGCACTCATACTCGTAAGTCTCCCTCACAGAGAAGGCATTCTGAATTCAAGATTAAGAAGTTGGCGACCCAATTGTACTTGAGTTCTTCTTGCTTGTAGAGATGCCAATGTTAATGACATAGAAAATCAGGGTTTCAAATATTAAGGAGAGAAAACAACATCCATTGTTTTCAAGTATCATCCTTTAAAGGAAAAAGAGAAAATGAACAATTTAATGATCACATAATAAAGAGAAAAGAAACATAAAGCAGAAAGAAAGAAAAGAAAGTGAAATGTTGTCTGGCTTTATGAGAGAGAGAGAGAGAGAGAGAGAGAGAGAGAGAGATCAACACTTTAGTGGGAGCAAAATAATGAGAAAAGAAACATAAAACAGAGTAAGAAAAGATAGTGTACTGTTGGTCTGTCTGAATCAGACAGCGCGAAAGAGATCCTCGGAAACTCTCAAAACAATAACATATTCACTTATTCAGCACTAAAACACAAAAAGAAAAAGAACCACCCATCATCGGAAATTCTGAAAAAAAATCTTGAACATTAAAAATTACAGGAGAAGAATGATAAAAAACCGTTCGTAATGAATCTAAGCAGAAGGAAACAAACAAAAGAATTGAACAAGACAGAGAAAAAGAGAAAAGGTAAAGCACCACCTACTATCACAAACCCTAAATCCTCCAAGAAAATCCATAAAAAATTTATACAAGGAAATTAGCATGCATCATGCATGCTGTAACCCAACGAAGGGAAACAAACAAACCAGCACTGTTTTCAGAAATCCTGAAATAAACCCTAAAAAAGGAACAATGGAACCCACCGTCTAAGCCTCTGAACTGAAACCACTATGAAAGAATTCAAAACCATAGAGACACAAACCTTTTCTTCTTTATAAGATTCCTTTGCACAGAGAACTAACAAAACACCAGAAGCAGCAATCCACCCCAAAACCCTTGCCTTCTTTCACAAGACTCTGTTTAAAACATTAAAAGAGTGAAACCCATGCCACTCCTTTAAACCCTAGAGACACATAATATCATATAGAATTAAGTAATAAAGAAACAATATGTGAGGACAGACTGAGGGAAAAAAAATTTAAGTGGAATAAGTAGTAAAAAAGGATAAATGAGGTGAAAATGAAAAGATCTATGCATGTATCTATAAATTTAAAAATACTTGTATATTTAGATTATTTACCTTTAAATATTTTAAAATAGGAATGTGAAGAATGGGATTGTCTATAGATTTGGAGACCTACCAGAAAATCGGCTCATAAAATGAAATAAAAATAAAAATAAAAAAAGGAAAAAATTAATGGGGAGAAAGGGGGTCTGTCAAAGAGGATCATACCATTCCTTTGCTCAGTCAGAGGAATGAAGGAATATACATATTCACTATTCATTCCATTCTACCTATCCAGTTAGGACATTTTTATAATTTTTACATTTGTCTTAGGTAACCCTAATTACTTGAGTGGATATCCATAATGCCCTTTCTACTTGGCAAATGTCCACATCACCGTATATAGAAGATCTACCAACTCGACTAGCTAAGCTCCCTCTCTCTCTCTCTTTCCCCACCCACTATTTACAAGATGTTCTCAATTCACTAACAACTTGTTGAACCCATATACCCGTCTTGTCAAATTCTTTTTCTTTGGATTTTAGAGGCCTAGATGGAAGCAAAGTGAAGCTTGGTGCTAACACTTTAGTCAGATTCGGGTTCGATTTGGCCTTTTCGACTAAAGCAAAGAAATATCAATATAAAAATATATTTTTTGAACTTTTTATTTTTATTTTTTTGTTATTTTTATAGATTTTATATGTAAATATCTAATTTATTTATATTATTTTTTTAAAAAAAAGTACAAAGTCTTCTCCTAAATCGGCCGAAGCACCGAATTGTTTCGTTTTTTTCACCAAACCAAAAAAAAGCTCTGAAACAAATCTGACAACAATCACATATACACTATTTACAAATTACGGCAAATTAACTTAGCAAGTAGTTCACGACCCTTCTCTCTCTCTCTCTCTCTTGCGAAAAGGCACTCGAGATTAACTAGCAAGTTGTTGGCTCATCCGGGCCATCCACTCTAAATGATTGAAAATCCAAACCGTTTAAACATGGGAGCTGAGTAGCTGACCACAAGGGCCACAGACGACACACAAGGTCAGTAACGATATAATCGGAATAGTTAGGGCTTACTTCCCATACAACCATGGACTCATCTAGCTTTTCACTTATTTATTTGTTAGGGATTTGAGGATGACCTAAAAAAAGGGCATTCGCACGTGAGGAGAGCCAGTTGTTGAAAACAAAACCCTAAAAATCTGTGGCCCTTGCATGTGGAAATTTACATTCCACGCCCATCCAGGCCTCCGTTATATGCTACAAACCTTGTCTTGGTTTCCTTAAACTAATCCCAAAAATGGGCTTCATTTTGAGACCTGCCTTTTAATGCTTGACCGAAGGGATTCCCACGCAATCTCAAGGCACCCCAGTCAACACGCTGACACAGAGAGAGAGAGAGAGAGAGCCCTTCAAAATAATGAAATGAATGTTAATGGATTTTTTTTTTAGTTTATTGTATATGCTTATCTGTAGAATACTTCTGTCTCTCTCTCTACGCTAATAGAGAGAGAAGATGAGCAGCCTTTCAACTAATGAATGAATAATGTTAAGGGATCATTTTTGAGTTTATTGTGTAGGTTTATACCTAATTACTAAAACCACGACTCGAATTACTCGCCCAAGTCACAAATTTGTTAAAAAAATACAAAAAAAAATAACAAAATTAATAAAAATATTTATAAAGTAAAATTAAACAAAACAAATCTAAATTAAGTTAAAAAAAATTAGATAAAAATGGATTTCAAAAAAATAATCTGTGATGGGGTACTTTAGAAATAATCTAAAAAAAAAAAGAAATATATAAAAATAAGTATTTATGTCCAAAACACTTTCCAATCTTTTCAAATGATAGAAAATATAAAACTTATCTATATATTATCAATAAAAAAAAAAAATTGGATCTTTTACAATTTTCTTCGAGATCCCCAAAATTGATACTCACGCTCGCCAAGGTGGCAAGTCCGAGTCACTCAGACGAGTCCAAGGGGGCTCGCCCGAGTAATCTTGTCCCTACCAGCTCTCTCTCTCTCTCTCTCTCATTACAAACCAAGACAATTTCTCCTCTAAAGTGTGAAGGTGATTTTAGGTTTTAGTCCAAATTTTCAGACCGGCATAGTCCTAGTCTTCCTTTAGGGTACGTACAAAGGTAGAGTGGATGAATCAACACTTGGGTGGCGGTCCAAAGCGGCGCCATCCTAGAGATAGAGAGAGATTAATGAATCGTCAAAAACCCTCCTTCTTCGCCTACATTTCAGTGCAATGTCCCTTGGAAGTAGTGGGGATTTACCCCCAAATTTCAATGCACCAACAAGTCTCAACTGCATTTCCTACGTCCTTCGTGCTTCCTATCTTTCACACCATTTAAATATTGCAATAACCCCTTAAAAAATGCACTCCTCTTTCACGGAGAAACAAGTTAAAAAGCCTGCAGTACTTTTCCCTTGTCAGGTAATGCCTTTGTTGCATTTCTTACCAAATCTTGATTCTATGGTTAATTTTTTACAATCTATTCAGGCTTTTTCATAGATGGAAAGCAATAGAAGTAAAAACAGACACCCATTATCCTGGATGTATGTTTGTTTCTATTCCAACATGGAATTTCAAATGTTTTTTCATGTTTTATGAACTTCATTGGCCTACATGTAGTCTCCTTGTTCTTGGTTATTTGTTTGTTTCTTACCCCATATGAAGCCAATGTGTTATAAAAAGGGATCAAATGCAGCTTATTGTCCCATATGTTGTATTTGATCTAGGTTGCTTACTAGACATGGTAAAATGCGCTTTTAGAGAGAAAAGCAAAATGGGTATGTTTGAAAGATATATTAAAATCACTATTCAAATTATTTACTTGCCCAAACAAAAATTCAAATTATTCTTATTAATAAAATAGGCTTATTAGCTTGCAGTGAGCATGGGTTTAGTGGCTTCTATTACGGTAAAAAATGAGGTATTACAACAGAAATAATTGAACTCATATATGGGTCAGGTAATAGAACGTGAGTTAAACACACAAATGTTTGTTTTTTAGGACACTCAAAGAGATAAAGTCTTAAGATCAAGTGACCATGTATTTGTTAATTTTCTCTATTTGTAAATTCATACTGCCAATCATAAGTCGACCGCCCTAACTGAATTTGTTTGGCGCATAGAGATATTAATCTAAGTTGCTTACGGAATCCGGAACCAAATAATGGTGAAACGTTCACATTGAATTATGACAGAGAGGAGTGACAGTAGGCTGTTCCAATGCATGTTTTAATTGTTTTTGGCTTCTTGTTTGTTAACATGATATAATTTTCTTCAAGACGAAGCAAACTCTCTAGCCGATAGAACCACCATCAAGTCAGACCAAGGATTGTTTAATACTTTGAATGATACGGATTTACTAACTGATATTTAAATTATAAATCATAGGAATGAACTTTGGATGCAAGCTTATCCTAGAGAAAATTAGAGTTAGAAGACTTTGAGTTGGTGTATAAGATGCATCCTATGCGAAAAATAAGCATATGATTTCAATTCCATTAACCCGATCAGTGTTTTTCTAGGACTAAAGAACATAGATGATCTTTGGTTTCTCTTCTTCTTTTCTCTTAATTGAGTTACTGACAAAGCTTACCAATTGACCATGAATTTTCTATGATGAAAAATCCAATATTTTATGGGAATTGGAAAATTTGAAAACATTTTCACTTAAAACATCCTCTGGATTGGTAATTGGTGACTCATAGAAAAGGCAGTTGATTCATGGATCCACACCAAGATGTGCCACCCTATCTCTCAACATTAAGAACATTAATTTCAATAAGAAGTTGCAGAGTTGTTTGATCTTTGACATCAGATATGCATTATTTAGATGCATTTGATACAGAAAAATCTTCCAATAAGTTGAGTTCCAAATAGTCATAATTCGTCCAAATTGATGGCATCTAGAAGTGATATTAGGCATGAACCAAAGGATTAAATGCTCCTGTGGGAGCATTTTCAAGCATTTACTCCCTCGAGAAAACATTTGTCAAAGAATACTTTCAGACTCCAAATTTTGAGGCACTAAGCTCCTCATGCTAGTGACCAACTTAAAAATAAATAAATAAATAAAAAGAAATAAATAGTACCAACTTTCTATGGGACCTAAGGAAACTGATGTCCTTTGATTGAACAATGATTTTCGAATTCTTGTCTTGTAGGAAAGGGGCTGGATCGTGGTGATAGCACCCCATACTTGGTTACCATGTTGTTGTTTCCAATCGTACAAACACCACCCACTAACACCTTCCTAACTCCCTAATCTATATGCAAAAATGGGTAGGGACTTGTTTTCCCATTACCCAAAAAACAAAAAACAAAAAAATTTATCTTGGCAAGTCAGATTTTAGGTATTAAGAATTTGAAAATCCTTTTTCTTTATATACAGTCATCTAGTGCTTCTAATGTGGATCCTAAAATCTCGAATCAAAAAGCTCCCACTAGGTAGTTATGTTGCCAAAGAGAGTAAACAAACAGTATGCTCTAGCAGGAGCATGATATACACGCATAAGTATGACTTAGATACAATTCACATATCAAGTCGTTCTTTTCAAGAGAAAAAATAGAATTTTTTGATTGCGAGGTTTCTGCATGAAATTGTGGTACTCGGTGAGAAAACATAGGTGATTATGTCTTCACAATTGTGGAGGAAATAGAGGAAAAAACTATGGCAAATTTTGCAGTATATATTACCTTACAGTTTAGAAGAACTGGCCTGCAATTAAGAGTAAATAATTTTTAGGTTAAGGTGCAACATGACGCGTTCGATAGAAATGACTTTTTGCAATCCCACATGCTATACTTGGT